TTTTTTTCAAACAAAGACAATGTCTTACTCACCTGTTTCGCTATATTCAAATCGCGACACACCAAGGTATGACCAAAAACAAATTTCATTACCGGATCAAAGTAACGATCATATTCGATTAACGACAAAGCCGACTGCACATTCTCCTTGCCCACCTAAAAGCAACATGGAAACATATAAAAAAAAAAAATTGCCAGCAGTAAAATTAAAATTTATTTTACTTACCAAGCTTTGTGCGAAATCAACAACGCTCTGATCAATCGGATGTGAAGTGATCTTGTTAAGGGGTATGATGGTGACACGATGTTGCAATTGTCCTTTCTGCAGTATTTTTTTACTCGCTATGTCATCATCCGCCACATAACTGTATAACTATAATTAAGAGCTTATTCATAGAAATATATCACTAAATTTCTAATGAAGAGTACTTACGCTGCCACCGGCTGTCATCATTAAGGCGAGATTATTCTTTTCATCGCGCACGTTAAAAAGTTTGCCCACCATACCGCGCATTTTAGTGCGATCGAAATTTGGTTCCGGATCGCGATATTGCAATTCATAGCGATAAGCATTGCGTCGATCCAGTTGTTGATTTAAATCGCGTATCTCCTTCTGTAGCACATTTTTACGCTCCTGCAAAGCCTCGTGGCTGCCATCCTCATAATCAATTGTTTCCATTTTTGCGCTGAGACCAGCTATTTCACTTTCGAGTTTATCGCATAGTTCTTGATCCTTGGCATAGAGTGTATCCTTAGACTGTTTGTCGTTCTCACGTTGTTTGAGCACATTGCGGCAGTGTGTTAATTCCATGTTGGACGTTTTAAGTGTTGTCTCTGCCTGGCTGAGTTGTTGTTTCGCATCTGGAAAACAGTAAAACAAAATTACAACCATCCCCGGTAATATACAACTTTTTAAGTTATATAATCAACTTACTTATTAGTTGATCCTGCAGTGAGCATGACTGTCCATCATCATCCACCGACAAACCTTTTGTCACAGCTTCGAATTTTTTCTGCGCTGCATCGTAGGCTTGCGCATCGCGCTCATCAGCTTCTTTAAGGCTTTGAAAGAGATCGTGCACCTTTGACATTTGTGTTTCCTTTTGTTTTAGCGCCTTCTCATCATCTATAATATTTTTCTCTAAAGTGCGTAATTTTTTTTGCTCTTGATCAATACTAGTTTGCGCTGATTTCAAACTACCCGCCATTTTTCCTTCCTCCACGACCTGTTTTGTAAGTTCTTCTTCCACTTCCTTCAGTGCACCACCACAATCATTATCAATTTGTGCTTGCACTTCTTGGGATTTTTCTTCGATGTTTTCTATTTCAGCATTATTATCTTTGATAGTCGTTTTACATGTTTCGATGCGATTATTTATTTTTTCAATATTTTCTTCAATAGAACGTAACGCCTCTTTCTGTTTCAGATATCGATAAGATATATGTATGCGTGTCAAATATTCAATGTCACGGCAAATTTTTTGAAATTCCAAATATGCTGCACGTTCCTGCCGCAACTTTTCCAATTTCGGTTCGACCTCCTCTTGTAGTAGTGTGTTTGTTTCACGTACTTTGGCATCCTTCTTCTCAATTAGCTTGGTAGTTGCCTCACGCTTTGTCTCATACATACTAGTACCTGCTGCCTCTTCAATCATTGACAATATTTCTTGTGGCTTCATATTCAGAACTTTGGTTATACGTCCTTGCATAATTAAAAAGTTCGGGTTATTAACATTCAATTGCACTGAACAAAAGAAATCCGACACTTTTTTATTCTGCACGAGTTTACCATTGATTAGGTATTTATTTTTACCGCCAACAACAATTTGACGAGTAACTGAGATTTCACGACATTTTTCATAGCCAAGTGGACATTGATTTGGATCGGAATTGTCGAAAATTAATGTAACAGTAGCCTTTGTAACTCCCGCCTGACCGCTTTTATATACAAGATCTTGCAGCGATGCAGCGCGCACCTGTGTTTGAAAGTTTTTAGAACTATAATAAAATCTCTAAACAAATGCTAAAAGCATATACCTGTCCCAAATTCATTATACCAAGCACAAAACATATTGAATCTAATATGTTTGACTTGCCTGTACCATTCAAGCCGGTAATCGCTGTAAACTCGCTGTCAAAACCATGAATTTCCGTGCGTCGTCCGTAGGACTTGAAACCATCTATAATAACAGATTTGATGTACATCGTAACACTTCTATACTCCCAATTGTATCAATATCGTAATCTGTAAAATGTAAGGAAACGAATGATGTCCACAACGAATTTCAACCAAACAATTAGCGCGCGTCTTCGGCGCGCTATGCATAAGCAAGCGCTTTACTCACTTTAGTGGCCAATTGTGTTGCAGCTTATCCGTGGGTGATTTTTAAACAATTTAACAACATAAATCTTCACAGTTTAGCATGCAAAATTAAAATTATTATTGAAATTTTATTTCCCAAACAATAAGACAGCAACACAAATAGAAACCTTTCTCGTTTTACTCTTCCTCTTCTTACAAACAACCGTTGGCTGTGTTGCCACTTTTATTGTATTTTAAAATTGAAATGAAAAATTATAATAAATTATTGTATATTTTCACAATTTTTTACATATCCGCCATTATTTTGAGCAATTTTGTAGGTTTTTTTCCTAAATAAATAATATACCATTATAATATTATATATAGTATGATAGTATGTGACAATTGAAAACAATAGAATCTTAAATTGAGTGCCGTGTTCAAGCAGAGTGGCAG